CAAATCACAATTACCTGTATGGGATGTAAGGAATTAATAAAGTTCCCTAAACATATCTTGAGATCTTGAGGTTATCTTGAGATGATTTCGGGGCTTTTTAGTGTCCCCGCGGCCCGGTCCTTGACCAGGCCTCCACCCCCAGGAAGCAGCCCGTGACAGCTGACTAACACCCAGGTACCTATTTTACTGCTAGGTAACAGGGGCATAGGGTGAAAGAAACTCTGCCCAATGTTTCTCGCCGGCGCCTGGGATCGAACCCAGGACCACAGGATCACAAGTCCAGCGTGCTGTCCGCTCGGCCGACCGGCTCATATAATTACAGGTATGACATGGAATATGAGGGTCCTAAATGGTGTACACGTACGTCTTGTTGGGGGTTTTCCTACGACTTAACCATCTACCTATTGTGACAATATTGTGCACAGATTTAATCTACAAATACTTGGTAAGACGGATACGGTCGTTGCTGTGGCTGTGAGAGGCTGTGTTGCTGGTTGCTCGCTTGTTGACTCGTAATGTGGGTGTCTAGGGGGTTAAACCAGCCTCTGGAGCTCTGTACAGCGTGTTTGTTGTTGTTCTTGTTGTATTTTGGTGTAAGGTGACGCTCCCGCCTTGTATGTTGTGGTTCTACTTCTGAACTTAATTTTACATTAACAAGGGAGTCAAGCTATATTTTGGTGTTAGTAATTATATTCAGTCTTATTGAATACTTTTTTATTCCGTGTCGTCGATGACGTCACGGGATCACCCATTCTCAATTCTTAAGGGAATACTCTAAGGGGATATTATGTTATTATGTGTGTCAGATTTCCGACACCTCGTGATGACAGACCCGCCCATCCCACGTGACGACAGACCCGCCCATCCCACGTGACGACAGACCCGCCCATCCCACGTGACGACAGACCCGCCCATCCCACGTGACGACAGACCCGCCCATCCCACGTGACGACAGACCCGCCCATCCCACATGACAACACAACCCACCCATCCCACATGACAACACAACCCACCCATCCTACATGACAACACAACCCACCCATCCCACATGACAACACAACCCCGCCATAAATTAACACAATGACACGTTTGAGGAGACTAAAGGCGCCAAAACCCCAGAAATAGCGCCTGACGCCAAGCAAACATTACACAGCGAACAAATGAGCGCTTGAGTACGGGGCGCTCACTGACGCGGTCCCCACACGCGATCCAACCTTAACACCGCCGTAGACGACTCATAGGTTGACCATTGGTGAGCAGGATTGGCGTCCTCGGGCGAGGGTGTCCACGGCAGGTTTACATGTGGTGGTTGGTGATGTCATGCCTCACTCTCTTACATTTATATTTAGATCTGGCGGAGGTATTCTGGGGCGGCTGATCGGGGCATAAACACATGCCGGCAGGTGTTTGGTTTGTTGCACTTGTAAGTGTTGATCACTGCTAGAGACGTGGGCATTCTTAGTGTAACTGATATCTTCATTATGATATCATATATATATATATATATATATATATATATATATATATATATATATATATATATATATATATATATATATATAACTATATTTCCAAAATTAATGTTTAAAACCACGTCAAATGCAAACATCCTCATTCCTCACACTGGAAACATTCAGACATTTTACTCACTGGAACCATTCAGACATTTTACTCACTGGAACCATTCAGACATTTTACTCACTGGAACCATTCAGACATTTTACTCACTGGAACCATTCAGACATTTTACTCACTGGAACCATTCAGACATTTTACTCACTGGAACCATTCAGACATTTTACTCATTAGAACCATTCAGACATTTTACTCACTGGAACCATCCAGACTTTTACTCACTGGAACCATCCAGACATTTTACTCACTGGAACCATTCAGACATTTTACTCACTGGAACCATTCAGACATTTTACTCACTGGAACCATCCAGACTTTTACTCACTGGAACCATCCAGACATTTTACTCACTGGAACCATTCAGACATTTTACTCACTGGAACCATTCAGACATTTTACTCACTGGAACCATCCAGAAACTTTACTCATTTCTCGGGCCCAGAGGGCGCCAATAGGCCTAGCAGGCAGGTGGGTGTTGACCCACTCATCAAACTCGTCGGGCCTAATACTGATAACAAAGATAGCTGACTTCATATTAGTTTAGGTTTAAAGCTTTAAGGCCTATCGTCTCCCCGGGTGATGCTGGCCGCCACCAAGCAAACTGTTGTGGTTGTCCTCAGGTATGCCTTAACCCCGACCAAATGTGGGTTTTATTAGTGCTAAATATACTGTGTATTTTTATATCTAACTAGCTGTACCCGGCTACGCGTTGCTGTGGCTCAAGCGTTGCTGAGCAACAGCAACCCTGTCCCCCAGCCCTCCCCATCATTCTCCCCTTCCCTGTCCCCTCGTCCTCCCCACCATCCCCCACTCCCGTCCCCTCGTCCTCTTAACCCTTCTCCACTCCACCGTTCCCTCATTCTCTCCACCATCTCCCGCTCCCCTGTACCCTCGTCCTCCCTACCATTCCCCCCTCCCCCGTCCCCTCGTCCTCTCCACCATCCCACCCTTCTTTGTCCCCTTGTCCTCCCCCCACCAATCTCCATTCCCCTGTCCAGTCGGCCCCACCATTCCCAACTCCCGCGTCCCCTCGTCCTCCCCACCATTTCCCCCTCCCTTGTCCCTTCGTCCTCCCCATCATTCCCCACTCCCTCGTTCGATGCATTCCCAAATGATCTGATGTTCCCATCAGAAAATTGGGAACATCAAATGATCTGATGTTCCCATCACTGAAATATAAGAAAAACAATTAAAAAATGAAATGAGAAAAATAATAAACTATACTTATGAAATGAACGGTATGGTAAACAACAAAGCTCAATTCCAGTGCAATGTCACACAAAATAATTAAATCAAAATGAAAATAAATCGAAATCTATGAAAATTCAATTTATCAATGAAATTGGAAACATTGGAATGGAATTGAAACATATTTAGTATAGCGTAAGTTGCTTTTACGTGCAACAGTTGGCGCTGTTTTTTTAAAAAAAAAACTGTTTTTACCTGTCACAGGTGTGGCTTCTGTACATATACTCATGAAATGAACGGTATGGAAAAGAACATAGCTCAGTTCCAATGCAATGTCACACAAAATAATTAAATCAAAATGAAAATAAATCAAAATGTATGAAAATTTAATTTGTCAATGCAATCAAAAGCACTGAAATGGAATTCGTAACATATTTAGTATAGCATGTGTGTTTCTATTACGTGCAACAGATGGCGCTGTTTTTGAAAAAAAAAATGTTTTTACCTCTCACAGGTGTGGCATCTATATAGTAGGTATATACAAACACACACATATTCGAATGCAACGTTGTGTCAGAATTTCAAAGCAATCGGTGAAGAACTTTGGGAGATTACAGCGTGTGTTGCTCTTACGTCCAACAGATGGCGCTGTTTTTCAAAAAAACATGTTTTTTTTTCCTGTCACAGGTGAGGCATGTATATAGTAGGTATACAAAAACACGCGCCTTTTCAAATGCAACGTCGTGTCAAAATTTCAAAGCAATCGGTAAAGAGGTTTTGGAGATTTCTCTCACTTGAAAAACACATGAAAAACACAGTTTAAAAAAAACAGCAGTTTTTTACCGTCACAGACGTGACATCAATATAGTATGTATTTACAAATGGATCATTGTGTGAAAATTTCAAAGCAATCAGTGAAGACCTTTCGGAGATCAGCGATTTTGAACAAACGAACATTTCCATTTTTATTTATATAGATTTTATTTGTGATCTTCATTCATGTCTAAGAATGTGAGAAATAATGTTTTGAATTTTATGTAAAATTTAGAACGGTTATCTTGAGGTTACCTTGAGGTATTTTCGGGGCTTAGCGTCCCTGCGGCCTCCTGGTTGCTGGACTGGTCAACCAGGCTGTTGGACTCGGCTGCTGCAGCCTGACGTATGAGTCACAGCCTGGTTGATCAGATCTTTGGAGGTGTTTATCGAGTTCTCTCTTGAAAACTGTGAGGGGTCGGCCAGTTATGTCCCTTATGTGTAGTGGAAGCGTGTTGAACAGTCTCGGGCCTCTGATGTTGATAGTTCTCTCTCAGAGTACCTGTTGCACCGTTCATATAGACTCAAATTAAATTTAATGTTTTTAAAATAAATTGCTGGGCCAATTCAATTGTTATTCAAGAGAGAGAGAGAGAGAGAGAGAGAGAGAGAGAGAGAGAGAGAGAGAGAGAGAGAGAGAGAGAGAGAGAGAGAGAGAGAGAGAGAGAGAGAGAGAGAGAGAGGGAGAGAGGAAGGGAGGGAGGGAGAAAGAGGGAGAGAGAGAGGGAGGGAGGGAGAAAGAGAGGGAGGGAGAAAGGGAGAGAGAGAGGGAGGCAGAAAGAGAAGGGAGAGAGAGAGAGGGAGGGAGGGAGGGAGGGAGGGAGGGAGGGAGGGAGAAAGAGAGGGAGAGTGAGGGGAGGGAGAAAGAGAGGGAAAGGGACCCGAAAAAATCTTTGAAAAACGTCACAGAAAATTCGCATCCTTCCCTAATTCCCGTTTTCTGTTGGGCGACTCCACGAGGGGCGAGCTAAACTAAACCTTAATTTGCAAGTTTGCATTATCCTTGTCGCTGAGGAAACTTTATTTTTGGAGAAGTTTGAGGGAGGGAGGCCAGGATGGGGGAGTGTGAGGGAGGCCAGGACGGGGGAGTGTGAGGGAGGCCAGGACGGGGGAGTGTGAAGGAGGCCGCCTGGGAGCCACACAACATGCCTGGGGTAACACACAAGCCAGGTGCGGTGACTCCCAAGACTTGATCCTCTAGCTGGCTTGTCCTTTATTGTGAAGGTGTCTATATCCCCCCCCCCTCATTACCGCCTCATTACCCCCTCAATACCCCTCATAATATCCCCCTCTCTCTGTCCACGAATATTAAGCACGGGGTGATGTATAGTGAGTGTTAGGCTATAACATGTTGAGTGTTGCAGGTGCTGGGGGCGACGATGGTGGCGCTGGGGTTCTGGATCACGCTGGACACCACCTTCAAGCGCTGGGTGCAGGACCTGGCCATGGAACACTTCTGGGTGGGCGTGTACATCCTGATGGCCGCCGGGGCCCTCGTCATGCTCCAGTCCTTCTTCGGCATCTGCGGCGCCTTCCAGAGGAAGGGCAGGATGCTCATCTTGGTGAGCATGGGGAGAGGTGGGGGGTGTTAGTGCTTGGGGGGGGGGGGGGGGGGGGACCACAACTAGCTGTACAAAAATGTTGGCAGTCGTGAGACTATTTACCCAACATCCGACAGCGCTCGGTGGTCAACTTGGGCACAGATATTGAATCGAATCACCTCACTTTTTGGGGCCACGTGAACAACACAAAATGTTCACTTGTGTTTGCTCAATTGCAAATATCTGTGGCCAAGTTGACTGTCAGATGTTGGGTAAATACTCTCGCGACTGCCAACATTTTTGTGCAGTCAGGTGTGGTCTAGTGGCTAAGATACCAGATACCAGATATATATATATATATATATATATATATATATATATATATATATATATATATATATATATATATATATATATATATATATAACTGAAAACTCACACCCCAGAGTCCCCAGTTGTATATAGTCCTGGGGACCATTCAGGCTTGTTTGCATATATATATATATATATAACATGCCGTACCTAGTAGCCAGAACGGACTTTTCGGCCTACTATGCATGGCCCGATTTGCCTAATAAGCCGAGTCATTTTCTATATTTTCAATAAATTCTTTCCAATTGGTTTATTTCAATTCTTATTATTACATTATATTAAGAACATAAATTATTGACTAAGTTATGTTAGGTTAGGTAGGGTAGGTTCGGTCATATTTCTATGTTAGTTTTAATTGAAATTTTAACAAATTAACTCATACATAGTGAAATGGATAGCTTTATCATTTCACAAGAAAAAATTAGAGAACTATATCAATTCAGGAAAACATGACTTATTAAGCAAATCGGGCCTTGCATAGTAGGCCGAGTATTGCGTTCTGGCTACTAGGTACGACATATATATATATATATATATATATATATATATATTGTGTTTAGATAGGAGATGCCTCGTATGGGCCAATAAGCCTTCTGCAGCCCCTATGTTTATCCCTTATGTATCCCCCAATGTTTTCACCTTCATTATATATATATATATATATATATATATATATATATATATATATATATATATATATATATATATATATATATATAGATAGATAGATATTAGTATATTTTTGGAGCAGATTTTCTCTGATACACATCTAATTGAACACATCAGTATAGTGACTATTGAGAAAATCCACTTGGACAATGAGGTGGGCGTGACCCTCCAGCCTTGGCTTTGCCAGCCTACCACAAGACCACCGGGACTGGTAAAAAGTCATACAACCGGATTTCTACTGAAATGATAGAAAGTCTGGAGGACTTGCTTGGACTTGCTTTCTACTGAAGGAAGTCCTAGTTTTTAAGTATCGTTCTATCATCTGGTGGATGAAGACACACTTCATCACATATTTTCATTTTATTGTTCGTCGTTTGGTCAGCAATGTGACACAACTGTGGCTTCACCTCGCCCTACGATTTACCCGGACCTGGTTAATGGTAGGGACAGCCGAAGGATAGCGTGAGATGGTTGGTGCCTGACTCCTGCTTCTAGCTGCCATCACGTCTGCCATCTTCCCTCTACGTCAAGGGAGGACCATCGGACAGCTGTGTGCTCAATGTCGAATTCATCTGGATGTTGATTACTGGTGTCAGCTCTTGAATGAACACAGCCTCATGCATATGTAGCCTCGAATGAGGCTTCATATGCATGAAGCCATTCTGGAGACTGCTCCAATATGTATACAATACTGGACATTCCACGAATACATTTAGTAGACGTCTTACACATCATTTGCAAGGAAGGTATAAAGCAACATCATTCTCAACACCACAAGACCTTCCTGATTTTGCCAGAACATAGTGAAAGATGCGACAATAATCACACGCACCGATGATCGTAGGAGGCTTCGTACGCTTGAGGCTGTGTTCACTCGGGAGCTGACACCAGTAATCAACATCCAGATGACTTCAGCTTCCAGCATACAACTCTTTGATGGTCCTCCATTGACCCATAGGGAAGATGAAAGATCTGGCGGACAGCTAGAACCTGGAGTCAGGCAACAGTCACCTAACCCTATCCTTCACCGCTCCCTACGGTTAAGGTGGTCACATGAATCGAAGAGTGAGCTGACAACTAAGTGAGTTAGTGTTTCTTCACCCTCTCGATGGTAGAATATATTATGTTGAATGAAAAATATCCATAAAGAAAACAGTAATTAAATGCTGTTTAATTACATGTAATATATATATATATATATATATATATATATATATATATATATATATATATATATATATATATATATATATATATATAGCGTGTGTGGTGGAGGCCAGAGGTGTCACCACAATCGTGTGTGGTGGAGGCCAGAGGTGTCACCACAAGCGTGTGTGGTGGAGGCCAGAGGTGTCACCACAAGCGTGTGTGGTGGAGGCCAGAGGTGTCACCACAAGCGTGTGTGGTGGAGGCCAGAGGTGTCACCACAAGCGTGTGTGGTGGAGGCCAGAGGTGTCACCACAAGCGTGTGTGGTGGAGGCCAGAGGTCTCACCACAAACACTAACTTCTCCCCCCCCCCCCCCCCCCCCCGCCCTCAGTTCTGCGTGTGTCTGGTCATATGCTTCTGCCTGGAGCTGGGAGGAGGCGTGTACATGCTCAACAACGGCATCCGAGGCTCCCACATCGAGGGCTGGCTCTCCCGACGCTTCTACTCCCTCATCAGCCAGATAGACTACGACCCCAAGTCATCCAGGATCATGAATATCATCCAGGAGTGG